TAGTAATTATTATTAAAATATTTTTTAAATATTATATTATACATATGAATTAATAATGCTGGTGTTTGTTTCTTTTCAGAGAAATCATTAAGAAACCCAGCTGTATCAGAATCAATCTAGCCCAGCCTCAGTTTAGCAACATAGTGAAAATCAGTGTGATAAGTTCCAATGCAATGCCACTACAATGGGAGTGTGCTGACCAAAGAAATCCTTTTGTTAGTACTTAAGTATAAATGCCAGCTAAAATGTTACTCCTAGTTGTGCCTTGTGTCAGCTTTTCTTCATGGATTTGTACTTCGACCTGTCAAAAGTGAACAAAACTATGCTTAAATCTATTTTAACACTTTCCATACTTTGCCTACAGTAGACAATGTTCATTTGTATCACTTTTCCACATACATTGCTATGTATCTACTCCCTAGACAGATGTTCAGATTAAAGTAGTTCATATGCAAAAAGGTATTCATTTAAAGTGACCCTGTCACTATAGCATCACAATGCCTGGGCTGTAGAACAACAAGCTCTATACTTACCTTTTCAGCGGCCCGTGTGTTGAAATGCCACCTCTTTGCTGCACTACAGGATGCTAACCTGTATCCATTCCTTCTTTAACCTTAACCCATAAAATTAACACAACCCACCTTCTAACATTTCAACCCATTTTAATCCAAATCCTAAATTTAACTACCTCCGGGCCGGCCATAGTAAAAAAACGGCCGGCCAGGAGCTCTCTCGATCTGAGCGGGCGTCTCTAGACGTCCGCTCAGACACGCCCCCTTGCGCGCGCCGTCAGGCACGCGCGAGCGGGAAATGGCTGGTATTTAAAAACGGGCAGCGATGCCCGTTAATATACATGCGATCCGCCGGCTGTAGAGCCGGCCGATCAAAAGTCAAAATGTTTTAAGATTTTTCAAATGCTGATTAAATCACTTACAACAGATGTTGCTAATTGATGTTTAAAAGTTTTATTTTCCTACAGAATAAGCTAGTCCCTTTAGCACTGATCCTGATATCCTGTTTTAGGGTGGCCTTTCCCTTGCACAGTACTGTGGATCCACCCTTGTGTATGCTAGTAATCTGTGCATGTCTCCACAACAGAGGCACAGCAGGTTAAACTTCTCCCTTACTAACTGCTACTCACTAATCCCTCTCCGCTGTCCAAGCTGGTAGATGGATGGCTGCAGGAGACTGCGCTGTCCCTTGTGATGACTTTCTGGACAGGAAGTTCAGGGAGGCATGATGACTGTAGGTGCTTTGGCAAAAATATAAATAAATACTTTCCTAGACAATGTACATTTGTTTGATCTGCATTAATTATTGAAAAAAGTTTAATATTACTTTAACTTCCAACCTTTGATCCTAAACACAACTGAAAGTATCAGCTCTAAAACCTCCCATCCCAGTCCCATCTCATGATCACAAAGTAACACTGGCTTTCACCTAAACAGGCTAAGGCATATGTCCCATCATGCTTGTTCATTTATCTTCATACCTTTTGCAATTCACAGCTGTCTTGTCTTACATCTTAATTTTTAGCATGATTTGACTTTCATCTATACTGAAGTTATTAGCTATTTTACAGTTTTATGTAGCTTATGTTCACTGAATGTAATTTACTATTTTTGTTGTCCTAAATGGAACAATCTATTATAAACAATGTTTAAAATGATTAGGTGCTGTTAAAAGACTGAATTAAGGTTGTTAGTTTTAACAACTTAAAACCCACATGTTGTGAGTAGCGTGATGCACATTACACTTCTCTGGAAATGACTCCATTTTCTTTTGTGGCATTTGTGGGAAAGACATTCTCTAATTCGTTGCAGGAATTAGGGAAAATGTAGGGCCTGTTGATGATGGGCTTGTGTCAATTGCCCCAATTTTACATCAATTTGAGATGCTTCTGAGATCATTCAGAATTTATTGACAGATGCAGTTGACTTCTTTTTAACTACATATGACCTGCCGTTGCCGAAGGCCCCTACAGTTAATGAGTACAGACTGATGCTTTGGGGGAAATGCATTCTTTAAGGTGTTGACAAACTTGAAAAAGTACACTATTCACGTAGTATCTTATAAAAGGTGGTCTAACAAGAATGTGGACAAGTGCAACAGATACGTGCTGTATTTTGTTTGCAATAATGAAAAAAAAATAGTGAAAGTTGTTTGTCCTTTCATCTAAAATGGCTGTAAGCCATGGCAAATGTCACATAAAAACCACCAAGTGAACGTGAAAGTAGTATAGGAACAACCTCAACCTATAATACCACATATAAAGGATGTCATTTCAAAAGGAGTTTTGTTATTTATCACTGCAAATCTTGATCTACCTACATAGGTCTCGGTGGAAAACAGGTTGCTTAGGGTGGTAACGGTATTTGCCTGGCAGGCTGAGAGCCCGCTGCAACTTAAGGTTGGATTTTTTTCCCATTTCAGAGGAGTTCCGTAATTGCAGGTGCAGCAGAGATGGGTCACAAGGTAAAAACAGGCTTCCTTTGCGGTTGTTAACCAGAGGAACAGGCTCTTGGGGCTCAGAGCTGAGTTTAGAGCCAGGTACAGAATTAGAAGTAACATTCTGGGGAAGAAAGGACAGTCTGTGGACACTTAATCTAACTTCTTTCTTTGTGGCTGAAGAAGGGGAGAAACAAAAAAGTGAACAATTAGCAACATAACAGGAAACATGGAGGGAATGTGGAACATGAAAACTTCTGAAAGTGACCGTAAAAAAACCTATTTCATTGGGGCTCATAGCATGTATAAACTGAATAATAAAACAAAAAAAGCATTAAAAAATTAAAATCCGTTAAGTGTTGTTTAGC